GCTTTGGGCAATATAAGTATATACTAAGTTTCAGTCTTTCTAGTGTTAATAAAGCAAACGATTCTTTTTCTATTTACAATTTGGAAACCAATCGAGCGATCTTTTTATGACATATTAGAGCCACTTTAATGTTAGCCGATTTCTGTAAAATGTTTCCGACATAGGGCCAATTTCTACAACTGTGCAGTTCATATTTCGTCCCACTAGCATCGACGAAAGTCGGCGAACTCGCGAACGACTCAAGAGGACATTTCGAGTAATGGAATATATATTTTCTTACGGGAAGAGGAGCGTAAAACTGCCACGTTCAGACGCGATTTTAACCCCGTTTCGATATCCCATCGCCATCGAGAAATCGCCTGGATACTTGAGAGAGCAATTGTCACGGCGGCGACAAATTTCTATCTCGCGTCCGCCGCCACCACGCTCACCCTCTTCTTTCCCCGATGCTGCCCACCCCCAAATGTCACCTGTCTCTATTCCCCGCTAAACCGCCCCAAAGTGTTCTGGTATTAACGGTGCTGCTATATTCAGGCGATCCATGCATACCTAAGTCCTCTATATACACACACGGTCCCGGATACAGAAACTCGAAACTAATTCGATAGAGTTAATAATAAATAGTAAAAGAAATTGTTACATAGAAACGAGTACCAATAGTTCAATGAATAAATTGTTTATATGCGGGTGAAATGTATCGACAATATTTTCAATGCAAAAGCAATGTGGGTTTGAAATTGGCCCAGCCCAGAGAATTTCAAACATTTTATATTAATAATTAATGCAACTTTATATTCATTTGTTTTTCCAGTTATGTGTTACCATTTATATATTATTTTGATAGCTGAAGGAGAAATGTTTTCCTCCCGTTGAATTTCGTAAAAATCTGGATTAATTGAGAGGTTTTTCGCGTTTGTTACAGTTTAACGATCACAGCATCGTGTCCGATGAATCTGCAATACTTTCCGATGGACCGACAGCTCTGCCATATCGAGATCGAGAGCTGTAAGTACGCACGTGCGCGTGTATAAATGCATAACATACTGAACTGAAGTGACAATTTGAGAAAAGTTCGACACCCTCGCCTCCGTCCACTGTCACACACAGATACGCTACATAAACGTACACAGACACATACGATACGACACCGAATCTGATCATCAAAACAGTGTCGATATTAAAAACGGCAATCGACGTAAAATATATTAATCGATGAGTTCATAATAATTAATTTTTAATTCATTTGTAGTAGCAATTGTATAATAAATAT